CGCCCCGGCGCCCACTGCTAGCGGCCTAACGGCCCCGCGGGCCTGAGGTCGGCGGCCTAACGGCCCCGCGGGCCGGTCGTTGGCGGCCTAACGGCCCCGCGGGCTCCCGCAACGGCCCCGCGGGCGGCGGCTCCGGCCTCGGCCGCTTCCCGCACCCACGGGGAGCGCAGGCCGGTGGTAGCGCCAGGGCGCAGGGTTAGCGCCCATGCCCGTGAAAATCCCGGTTGTTTCTAGGGAGTCTCTTCCCAAGCGGCCTCTTGGGTAGGGAAGGAATGGCAGATAAKAGTGTGTAAAACAGGGCGCTCCGCAGTGGATTGGGTGCGTTTGGGGCCCTTCCTTCTTGCTTGGGTTTACTTTATTTCTTCTCTCTTAGGAGGCAGCTCCTGAAAGATGCTGGTGTGTGCGTCCGCGCTCGGCGAGCTCCGAGCTGGGGATGCTCGGACGCTCTGTGGGAGCGGAGCTGGAAGGAACCTGGTTAGGCGGCTGCTTTTTTGTAGGAGCTGTTGTCCCCTCACAATGCGGGAGGAAATGTATATTAATTGGGTAATCAAGTTAAAATGTTCAAAGAAAATACCACTGAGGCAAAACAAGTAAAGGCTGAGTTTGATTTTGTTTTTTGTTTTTAATATTAAAAAAAAAATCAAATGCATTACAAAAGAAGTGGAGGGGAGAGACAGGAGTCTAAACTCCTGTCGTGCATGCTGGGGGACTTGCAACGTTAAGCTCTTGAGGAATGTTTCAGATTCCAAATAGGCAAACAAAATATCAGACAAATTCAGGACAAGGAAAATGCAGAAGTATCCCCTYCACTTATTAACAATGCCTTGTACGGACCGGAATATCCTTCTGCCAGCAAGATGAATCAAAACTAGCACTGATAGAACTGGATGAGATGTGGAGATATGGAAGCTAGAGTTACGCAAGTGGAAGATACAGTTACGCAAGTAGAAGCCCATCATAACTTATCCTAGACAAGCTCCTTACCTGTCAGGGAATTACTTAATGTCATAGTTAATGGCAGGATGATGGTGCGTCGCTGATGTGGTGGGCTGAGGGTGGTGAAAAAGGGTTGTTTTAGGAGAAGGGTTTCCAGTATCTATAGAAAAAAATAGTGTCACAGTGTATGGCTCTAGTGAGACCTTATCTGAAGCCTAATGTGTAACTAGTCGCATTTATTCAAGCAAATGGATTTAAACTTATACAGATATGGAAAGGAGTGTATGAATGTCAAGAATTGAGGGCAAAGGAAATAAGTGTAAAGGGGCATCAAGCAGAGTTTATTAAAAGCTACAGGAAAGTATCCATCAGACCTTTCTGACAGTGATGTTTTAAAGTGATTTCAAATAAAGTTTTTGTTTTTAAATGATGTTTGAACACACACACACACACAAAGAAAGTGTTGTCTGCAATTATGGGGAGTTTGACTTGGGAACTCTACACATCTCTTATTCTTTTCTCTTATGCTCTGGTAAAGTGAGCTATGCCTGTGAGATGGTTGTGCAGATTTTCCGTGGGCACACTTGTTTTTTGTCATCTTTTTTTTTCCATTTTTTATTAATCAAGCTTTTTCCTCTCCTTGAGACCCTTACCAGAAACAGAGTAGTTAAGTTCCATTCATTTCCAGTGTTTTCTTATCATGCTGTGCATGTGCATCTGGCTGATGCCTGATAAAAAAAAATAGAACGGGTGCTTGGCCTSACTGACTTCCAGTTTTGGAGCAGACGGACTATACAGTTTGGACTGTTATAAGTGGAATGATGGATGAAAGGCTCCTCACTCGGCACTGCTGTTACTTTTCATCCCCGGCTGGGCTATTCTTAGGAATCTTTATGGGACAATTCAAGTGAAATAATTTAAAGGAATCCCCCAAAGTCATTTGAGGAGGCGGGGGGGGGGAGGGGTTAAGGCATTTTTACGTATATGTATAATTGTCTCACTAGACGGTGTTACCTCTCCGTGGATGTTACCTGAGGCCTTGTGTCTYTCTGCTGCTTTTGTTTTTAGAACCTGCTGCTTTTTGCACGCAGCATTTAGTGCTGCACTGAAGAGTTAACCAAAGAGTCTTCAGATTAGAATATTGCTTTTCAGAGCAAGCCTCCCATGCAGACCTTTTAGATTTTTTCTGACATTGTTTCTACTTGGGAGATCTCCCCAAAACAGGGAATTAAACTTTCACTACTCAGTCATCCTTTCTCATTTTTTTTTCGTTCAGTACACAGCCGTATCAGGTTCTTCAGAGAGAAAGAAYCTCTTTAAAGGAGGTAACTTTCCATTCAGTGGTCAATAGGAAATTAAGGGATGGAGTCAATCAAATCATCAATGTAYACATTAAGTGCTGCCAGTGGCACTTTTTCAGATGCTGGAATGGAGGCCTGAATGGATTACAGCGATCAAATTTTCTTCAAGTCATGTGAAAATGGATGACTCATTTGGTAGGAAGCAGCCTAAAGACCTGGGAGACAAAAAGGAAATAGATACTATGTCGAAGTTGTTTCTTTCAGCCTTTCCCTGTGCTAGATGGTGGTATGCAAGCYGCAGACAGCAACTTGAAGATTACTGATTCTGGCTGTGGAGAGATGCTGTGGGTAAGGAAGGAAACACACTTGGTCATTACTTCACCTGGATTCCCAGGGGATTTTTTTTTTTTCTTTTCTGTCATAAGTTTGTTCCTCTAAAAATAWTATAAAACATCTTTTCACAGTGTACACTTGTTCTTTTCTTGACCTTTTTGAATTAGAAGAAAGCCATGGGCTTTCTCATGGAAAGGATGGGAACACCGTGTTAAGATTACAGCAGAGGTAATTCAGTAGAACTGGCCTGATTTGGGGCAGGGATTGCCTGCGTCACCGCAGGCTTTCCCCTGCAGCAGGACAAGCTTTCCTCTAACCCGGCTCGTAATTATATTCACGTGATTCAGTAACACGAGAAAACGGCAACAAGAGCCTGGTGTTTTTGTGTTAATAAAGGTGTTAGTACTGCTGCTGAGAATAGGTCAAGTTTGTTCTTTTTCTGCTTTTGTACAAATAAATATGAGGAGAATGCGTGCTCATGACGCATTATATATTTATACACACATGCACACTGACTTTGCTGCAGTTTTTACCTGTTGAACAGAAATATCAGAGGGTCAAATACATAGAAGTGATGGAAACACTGTATAACATTCAGATAAGCCAGAGCTTGGTGTTGCCAGTGTTAAATTCAGAAAGATCATTCAATGCATCCTGAAGCAGCTTATTATTTATTTATTTKATTTCTTATTTATTCTCCTGTGCCAGGTGCTCCAGGTGTCCCTCTTTGAGCAGGGGAGTTGGACTAGATGATCTCTAGGGATCCCTTCCAAACTCAACTGTTCCGTGAACATTGCAACATRGTGGATTATAGGTTATATTAGGTTATAGATAGGGAGACAAGTTTGTTATGAAATGTAGTCCATCATCTGGGCCCGAAAGTGGAGGGACCGTGTGCCATGAGCCTGAGCACTGCAGTGACATGTGGGACGTAGGGACATGCATTTCTGAACTTTGTGCATTTTATGTGAACAAGGCTCCGTATCACTTATCGAAGATACTAAACTAAATAGCAGTTAACTTTGAAGTTTAAATAAGAATACACTATTTTGGTTCTACAGATGGTGTTTTCAGCTCAAAATCAATACATTTTAGTGGGTTGTAAGACTTGAGAAGGTTAATCCGTTGCCRCTGCCCGTAGTGTATCTCTCCACTAAATATATTCTGCAGATGGATTTGCAATATGTGTATCTATYAGAGGGCTTTTGAAGAAGTCCTCTTTTCATTTCCAGCATTGTTGGTAATTAAAAGAAAGGTGGGGGGGTGGGGGGGGGGGGGGCAAAACGCCTTTACCTCATGACCTGCTCAAGCTGCTCCCTGCTCTGCACGGGAGGGAGTCTGGAGCTGCTCCCTGTGGTCGCTTCTGGGAACAGGAAATAGCAGCAAGAAGAGGAAAGGAGGAATGTAGAGATTTTATAAGAGACTGTGGAGCGCACTTGTTAGCCTGTAGTAGGTGAAAGTGAAAAATCCCTTTATAAAGTATGAGAAGTCTAAGAAGTAGCCCACTTAGAATGTAACCTTTTTAAGTGGAACTGAACAGATTTTTCATAAAGATCAATGTGCGTCCGACGGGTGTGTTGAATTTACAGTCCGTAGACTCAATCAGTTAATGCCAGCCACTGCCTTGCATTAGGCTGTATTTAACCTCTGCTGCTACATTTACCTGCCGTGATTTGTTGTTGGGAAATGGGGGGCTTCAGCCTCTGAAGCAGAAGGGGACGTTGCCAAAGCCCGGGCTCTCTTTCAGAAGCAACAAGAAGGGTGTAGATGTTACACAGTGTGGTAACTCGGTCTCAAAGCTCGCACAGCTGACTTCTGTTCACGCGTTCCTGTCCCTCTGACAGACGCTATCRTCAAAGCGCGCTGTTGCGGAGCTGGAGAGAGCGGCGCATCCCAACTTGCCTTTGCTTGCTTGTTTATGGGAGCAGTCAGCGCTATCAGCTCCGTCGTCCTCTCGCAGGGCTCGCTCACACCTGCGAGCCCTGCGGGGCCGGGGGGAGCCGCGGCGCGCGGTCGGTGCCTGCCGGAGCGGGGCGCCCCGTGGGTGTCAGCGCCTGGGTGCCGGGTGCTTGGCCCACGTGAGGGCTTCAGCAGCTGAGAGACAGCAGGCCCCTGAGTCCAAAACAYCCACGGACAAATCCCTGCCCAGCTGAGGAACATGTGAGGGGAGAGGAGGGCTGCATTTATACCTGCTCCTAGGGGTGTTCTAGACACCGTTCTACTAAGCGCTTAAGGCTTAGGTGTTGCCTGGGATGAGAACGGCTGCGCGCAGCTCGCCAGCCTCTTTGGCCACGTTGGCTCTCTCTGCCCTCGTTTCACCCATGGACAGCCACAGTGCGCGCGCTGGGGGCCAGCACCACAGCGGCTGCAGCAGCCTCACTAGGGCAGATCTGAGCCAGGCACTTAAGATTCTGCTCCTGAAAACCTTTTTGGGGAGAGGAGGGAAGCCTGAGCTTCTGAGTGCCCCGCTGAAGGACAAGCAGTGTGGGGAAGGACAGTACCATGACCGCTGCGGAAGGGATGGGTTAAGTACATAGGGAAGGGCCCGGGACTGGGCATCCCATGGCAGCTATGTGGTCCAYGTCTGTGAGGTGTCTCAAGAGACTCATCAGCGTGGCCAGCTAGTTAATGCGGGGCCTTTCATTTAACAGATGGGCCAGCACGGGTCCCGTTCCTGGATACCTGGCTGCTCTGCATTACGTATGGAGGCTGGGTGTCTAATCGGGAGCTCTGAGTTTGGGCAAAAAGGCACTGCAGTGMTGAGCACTGCAGCACCTGGGCCCTTTATTGGATCTGGCCTCGCCGCAAGGAGTGTGAGTAATGGTAATAGAGGCGTGAGAGCAGAATGACTGCACAGGGGAGAGGAAGAGCCGCACTTGACTTGACAGAATGAAGAACATATTGGTCAAGGGATTGGATTAGTGCTGGGTGCAAGAATACCACTTAATGAAACAAATGACTATACCTCTTTTCAATGGCAGGAAAAAGAGTGGCGTGCCGCAGATTGCCCCCTTTCTATGCCCACTGTTCTTGCAGAGCAGATCCCACCATAACCTGGGTTAGTCAGACTTGGGTGAGAAGTGAATCCCAACTCTGAGGCCTCCTCTTTGCTGAGACCACCTGGCTATGAGCAAAAACKCATGTAAATAAACCTTGATTCTCCACTACCGGGCTTCCCGTGAGAGGTGTCTTCCTGCCGCAGGGGTAGCCCGGGCCAGGAGGGTGGGAGGCAGCACGTGTGGAACACGGCAGTGTGTTCATATGGAGCTGTGTGGTTGCCTGGAAGCTGCTCACGGGGCAGCAAAGTCACCAAAAAAAATCATTAGTAAACACTGAGTGCCCCTTCCTATGGGAGGCACTTTTATCTTCTGTTGAGCATATTTTCTTTTTTTCTTTGCTATATTTCCTCTTCTCTACATCTCTTGATTTCTTCCTCTCTGCAGTCCTCCAACCTGATTTTATTTACTGCTCCTTATTTACTTATGCTCGTACTTGTTCCCTTAGCCCTCCTGAATACTTTCTGTTTTGTCTTTCCTGTGATCTGCCGTGCAGTTTGGTCACCTTCCACATACCAGAGCAACAGAGCTAAGTTGCGGTTTGACTTTCACCTGCGTCAGTTCCCTGAACCTAATTGGATCCGGAGTCACCTGGAACTGCCTGCCTGCCTGGACTGAGAGAAGCCGCGGAGAAAACCCGGATCTCCCTGAGGCCGTGCCAGGTATCCCCTTGCCCGCGYGCGTGAGCATCCTGGAGCACGTTCAAAATGTCCACAGCTGGTTCCACCAGCCTCSATGCTCTCTTTGGTTTTGCAGCAGCTTAGGGGAAATGGGGACAGTTTTGCAAAGCTTCAGAGAAGACCAGGCTTAACCCTGAAAAGGGGGACATGCCTGGTGTCCAGGATTGTGTGGTGACCTTAAACAAGAGACTCCCAAAATCCCTCAGCTGACCTTTGTATAATGTACAAAGACTCCAGTGAGTCTTTTTTCCCTGCCTGTGACTCATCTTTTTCTAAATGTAGCCTGTAAGCCTCTCAGAGGACTGTCTTTCTCTCTGAACAGAGTAGCGTAAAAAATAGCAACGGTGTTGAATAACCAATATGTTTTTGTATTTTTTTTTTAACACCAAAACTTCTGAGGGCTGCCTCGCTGTGTTTATGCTTCTCCATCAGGGATTTATTGGGTCCCTGAGAGAACAGTGGAAGAGTTTCTGTCCTGCCCCACAACATGATGGATGTTCAGGCAGGAGGTTTCAGGAACAGCGCAACAGCAGTTCTGTGGGCAGCAGACATTATGATAGAAGATAGATAGAGTCTAAAGATCAACAGCCCTTTCACAGCACCCACGTGCTTCCTTCCCTGTCTCTGCCCCATTTGTAATGGGCCACATTACTGCGGTAACTGCAGCCTGGCCCACATGGATGTGCAGGGGGAAGTCGCCCGCTCCCTTYGGCAGGTTGCCCTACACCTATCTCCTTTTTCCAGCCCCGCTCACATCTGTTCTGGACATTGTGATGACCCTGGTTATATTGTTATCTTCCATGCTCAGCATTTGCTTTGCCTTTGACTTCTCCTGGAGCTGGACAAATYGGTTCCCCTTCTCTTTGCAGATGCTTTTGCGGTGTCCTGCGGCTGCTGCCTGGACCTCTGGCAGACAGCAGAGCGAGCACTGGCAGTGAGGCCTTCCTGCAAAYGCAGCTTGAGAACCACTTTGACTGCTGACAGACAAAGAGCTACCGTGCAGGGCAACCGCAGCAAGTGCGAGTCCCTTCTCACAAGCAGAATCGCAGTGCGTCCCTCTGAGGGATGGTGMCAGCATCGCATCCCTTCATCTCTATTGCCTTTCGTACTGTAACCTAATTTTTCTTTTCCACAACTGTTCAAGCAAAGATTGTCCATGTAGAATAAAGCAGGCCTAGGAAGTAAGGAATGGTTGGTATGAGATCTTCCAGCAATTTTGCTCTTGTAGTCAGTCAAGGCAGTCCTGATATCCTTTCAGGGTACACTTTCAGTGAGGCTCATGAGTATTTTCCCATTGTAAAGGCTGATGAATTTAGCCCTAGGAAATAACAACATTCTAACAGTGGTAGTCATTGGGCAATRGGTGGGTTTTCTTTGGAGAAGAAAAAAAAATATAAAGGAAGAAAACTTGGTTGAAGTTTGATGCCATCCTTCAGTACTGAGTGGCAGACAGATGGGAGGAGRGAAAAAGAAAAATGAACTGTGTCACCACATGGACAGGTACCTACTTCCTGTTATGGRGTAAACAAAATTCAGCAAGGTGTTATTCTCTGTAAGCTCTGATGTAGCCGGTCTCTGATAAAGATTAATTTCTAAAAATCAACCTTAAGCTGATGGATCAACCAATAAGACAATGACTTGACAAATTATTCACTGCCAAGTGTAAGGTACTTCCATGCCTTTAGTCTGCATCACTGCAGACAGTGTGTTTATTGTTGAATTCAATGAAATTTAAATCCCATTACGGATGTAATTGTTCTCCCCAAGAAGATTACAAACCGAGACCTTTCATTCTTATTTTATTTTTTATGTTTGAGTGATAAGCTATTGTATACACATTTTTAATAACAGGAAGCGTAACAAACATGCTTATTTTTATTAGATTAATAAAACGAGTAAACCTATCAGAGTGTGATTTTATTTAATATCTGCTCCCCTTTGCTGTTGCTCCCCTTTGCACTCGGTGATCCTTCATGTATTCTAGCCATGGGTTCCTGGACACAGGGGTGGTTACATCCATGCGTTGATGTCTTAGCCAAGAGTCTTGTTTCCAAACAAGAGCTTTGGGCTGGCGTGGGCCTCGCAGCCCGTATTTCCTTGCTGGCACCATGATCCAGCCGGGCCCGCAGGGCGGCCCTGGGGCTCCACTCAGGCTGTTTYGCGTGGGCTGCCACCTCACACACGGTCCGTGCGGCCACCGAGATGCGCAGGGCTCACACGCTTACACCGCGGGATGTGTTCCTGCCTGCTGGCAGGGAAAGCCACACGCGGGAGGCTGAGGGCATGTGGGAAAGGGCAGTGAGGGAGCACCAYGAAGCCGCGCACAAATCCTCGTCATTTACACTAGACAGACATGGAAGTTTTAAAAGAGACTTTAACCAGCGAGCACTGGGGCTGGGCAGAGATGTGCGGAGTTCTTTTTGGCCCTGAGCAAGGCCATGGCAGTGCCAGTCAGGAGGCTAAGGGAGCTACAAGCGACCTGGCAGCACTTCCACGGGCAAAGCCCTGGGCCAACAGCCGGGCACGGGCAGCAGCCAGTGCCACGGCAGCGGGCAGCGTTGTGACATGGCTGGGGATGCACGTAGGGGGGCTGCTCCGCGGCTGCCACGCCGGGTAACGGCCGTTGGGCCGGGTAACGGTTGTTGGGCCGCGTAACGGTCGCTGGGCCGCGTAACGKCCRCCGCGCGCGCTAACGGCCCCGTCGGYAGGCGCCCCTCCCCCCTCCACGCCAAACGAAGCCGCTGCGGGCACCGCGGGGGAGGGGGAGAGCGCGGGGGCCTATTAGATCCGGGGGCGGAGCCTGAGCATTTTATGAATGGGCTCATATGACGTCAGCAGGGGCGGGCGTAGAGCCGCCTCCGCTCACCAATTCTGAGAGGCTGCTGGCTCCCGGCACCAATTGCAGCCCGGCGAAGGCATGATGGGCGGCCRCCACGACCAATGGCGGTGAAAGAGCGCTGCCGACCACGTGGGGCGCAGGCCGCAAGTAGTACGGGGGCGTGTGGCCGCGCGCTGCCTGCCCCCCTCCTCTCCGGCAAGGCCGAGCGTGCAGGGGCCGCCGCGGCGCCGCGGGGGCGTGGCCAGCCGCGTTGCCGGGTTACCCGCTGACTGAGCGGCCGCTCCGCCAATGTCGGCGCGGCGGGGGCGGGCGCAGCGCGGGC